TTCCCATCTCTTGTTTGAGTTGGGAATACAAATATTGGGGGAGATTAAGTCCTTGACCTTGGGTTGTCTGCTTGTGTATAACTACTTTTTCCTGTATGGAGCTACTACATTACAAAGGATGGTCCAAGAATAACCATAACCATTAGGTTGACTTGCTTAAGCACCCATGCAGATCAGGTGGCTAGAGGAGTTGGAGGAGTAGACTCCTTTTCCATATGCAAACAACAGATTCACTCCAACATGCTTGATTCTACCTAGGTTTGATTCACCTGAGCCCAAATAGCACTAGAGTGAAGACAATGGAACCTTGGTTGACGGCATTGTGTGTATTCAAGTATCACTCTGAAATCCTTGTGAGAAGCCTTAAGTCAAAAGAAATAGCTGAAGTCAGCAGAACTAATGTTTTTGGACAACACAGGTGGATGGTGCTCTCTGTAGTTGTGCAGCACGATAACCCTTATGGGCTAAGGTAGATTGCCAATGCATTCTAAACGAAATATGGGGCACATAGTACCGTGAGTGGCTTCAGAGATTCCAGGGCTTTCCTGCCATCTGAGAGTCATTGATCTTTCTTAGCAAATGACTTTGATCCTGGAAAAAATATACACACAGAAGGGAGAGTTTACACTAAAATATTTTTACTTAGTTACATTTTTACTGTGAATGAGACAGCTGGGAGGAATTTTTGATGGGCAATAGAGTTAGGCACCCTGGGGTGGGATGGGAAATGTGTCAAGAAATCTTCATGTGCTTCCCAATTCCTTTTTTGAGATTTAGCGCAACCCGAATACTGAACCTTCTAACAAAGGATGCTTTGTCAAACAAATTCTGTCGCTTCCAACTATAACTGGCTTATTCAAAACAGGAAATTATTGGAAGGACACGGGAGTATTTCATGGAACGCAAGGCAGCTTGACCTTATGAATAACAGGGACCACGAACTCTTTCATTCTCTCTGGGTCTTACATGGTCCCTCTTGATGCTTCTCTCTGCACATCTATTTCATTCCTTTCTTCTCTGCAGTTTTTCTTTACATCCTTGCACACACCCCAGGACCCCATAGTTTATGTACTTTATTACTAGCTACATGCAGAGACCAATTCCAAATAATGGGCAAGAGAAACAGAGGGGACTAACTTAAGGCAGGAACCATCTCTGCTGTAATCACCTCTGACCAGGGGTGCAGGGTCATGTGGTACAAATATGGCTGCCTGCTAAGTATCTGTTGTTCTCAGAAAATCATTATGGGAACATAGACTCCAAAGCTAATCAATTACATCAACCTGTCAGGTTTCTACTCTCATACAGTCCTGTACCACACAGTTATGACTAAATGTTAAGCTTGGAAGATCCAACTGTTTGATCTCCTTTTCCTCTAGATAGTTCTCCCAATCCTCACTTTTACTTTATATTTCCATAAATTATAAATAACTCTAAAAATGCTCCAGTTCCAAAACAGGTAATATGCGAACCATTCTAAGTATATACATGCATGGAATTTGTACATATTTATACTGGTAAATAAAAATCAGCCTAACTTTAAGAAAACAGCACATTACATGTGTTTTCCCCACCCAAACAGCACCATAGTCCAACAAGCCTAAATGAAGCTAAACAGTGTTTTTAATTTTTTATGGGTATAAGAAGTCTTAATTGTTGCCTCAACTTTCAGAGCATTTCTAATTCAAAGATGTCATGCAATCATCGGCAGCAGGAGGTTGCTGTATTCAGGATTGTACTTGAACTTCCTAAATTTCAAATACCTGGCTAAATATGTACTAATGTTTATTGACTTTCTGATATCAAAACATAAGAAATAATTTTATTCATGCCTGAAAAAATAAGGGTGACAGTTTTTCATGTCTTGAAAGTTGGTTGAAAAGGTATGTGCTAAATACTGAGGTTTGCAAATACTCTTAGATTTTCCAACTCTACTTCATTAAGCTACATTAAAAAATATCAAGGTATTCAGAAAATACAACTGGAAATTTTATATGAAGCATTATGCCTCCATAAGGATGTCTATATTATGTCGAATTTGTTCCAACAGTGAACAGCATGGTGGGAGTTCAATGGGAAATAAGCGATCTTAAGTGTTAAATGTTTTATGTAGGGGAGCAAAATTTGCTACCCCAAAATGTCTTTGGCATGTGGATTATTTCAGGCTGATTCTTTTTAAGAAATGGAAGACTCAAGTTTTTCTTTTTTGCCTTCCTCCAACTGCATAAAAAGAATTTAGATGGACAACCTGCTCTAGGAAGGGAGCTATCACCACACATAACTAACTTCATTGTAACATGAACTGAGGTGATGTACAGGGAAGAACTTAGCAAGGCCTTATTACCAGTCTTCTCTGTGTCCCATTGTTTCTGGATGGCCCAGCAACTATTTGTTTACCAAACATTTACTCGTCATTCTTCCTATGAATTTCCTTCCTTCTCTATATAGTCCCAGACCCTTATCCACCTCTCCTTAGTCCAGAATGATATATATACCTCATTTTACCTGTTTTTATAATGTCTCATGTTTATATGGATTCTCCAGAAGTACATAATTAAATTTGATTTTCTCCTGTTAATCTGTCTTATGTCAATCTGATTCTTAGACTAGCCAGAAGAAACTTGAAGGGTATAGGAAAATTCTTCCTCCCCAACAATTAAAATTTCTCCTTTAGCTTCTTTCAAACATACAGCTATCCAAATCATTAGCACAACCGTAATGGCTAGATCATGTTAAGAACTGGAAAACTTGTTCTTCATGTCAGGAGTTGCCCCATTCCCACTGAGCAGTGATAAGGCCGCAAAAGGGGGAGTCATTCTCCAAGAACGCTTGATACAGAGCTTTGCCTGGGAAAGATTCCCAAGCATGATCCCCTTATCTTTCCAGTTAACACAGCATCAAAGACCCGCCGTGTTTCTCCATTTAATCCTCAGTAATTTAACTCCCCAAATTTAAAATAATCTTAAGAGAAATGCTTTCTGTTCAGGTTTAAAACAATTTCTTTCAACTTTCCCTTATGAACTATATTTTTACTAAAAATAATTAAATAGGCTGTATCATATTATTTTGTATCTATGACAAATTCAAACAACCAGGGGGCAGTCTTCAGTCCATCATATATCTCTAGGTCACCCACAAACTTATTCTCACCCATGCCAAAATTAGTATAAAAATATCTAAACTGTTTAGATACTATTTTCTTCATTAATCCTTGTCACATGCAGAAATGGAAGTACTCAAGGTTCCTGCTGGTTTGATGACATGGTTTTCCAGTACTTGTTCCAAGCTTCTTTTATAATCATTATTCCTATGAAGTCATTCAACTTGAAAATAATTGCTTGCCAAAACTGAGTCCCTCTGGTGAACCACTCGACACAGCTTTAGTTTTACAAAGAATACCATTCTTTGTATGCTATTAATCTTGGCTAAGAAACAGCACACAGTATTCTTCCCACTTAAACAGCTCAGCTCCTGTTCTCTTGGTTACACTTTAGAAACATTAGACTTACTGCTGGAATATAAATGTGTATCTATCACCTAGCCGGTGACTCTGATAACATGTTCATAAATCACATGAGTTAATTTATACACATAAACCAGTGCTTTCTGTGAAAATACTAAGCACTTAATTCTAAATTTATTTACTCTTTTAATCTAAGCTCACACTTCTGAAAAGCTATTAATAGGTCATAAGGTGAAAAGTTTATAAATAAATTAGAAATCCAGGTATTCAGTGGATTATTCTACAGAATACAAAATTACTACCAATTTATTTTCTAACCAAAATGAATTAAAAGCCATCAAAATGCAACACTGTGTTGACATAGTATGGGCCTGACTTAATTAAACAAACTGCTAACAGGCTATATGGCCATTACGGCAAAGCAAATTGAAATTGCCTTCCTGTTTCATATTCACAATGAAATCTCTGAGGCAAAGGATTTTCCTTTGTCCAAGCCAGTGAAGTTATGTCTCCAATGTCTTCTAAGTTCAGAGAAACTGGGTCGTGGATAATTATCAGGCAGAACATGTTTGTAAAGGTGTTTTGTCCATGAGAATTCTGTATAAAAATGAAAATACTTTATACTGAAAATAAAATACATCAAGCGAATCATGCTACTCCATCAAATTAGAATAAGGCCATTGGAAAGGAAAATTTCCAAAATCAAAGTTTGTGAAAATGTTAGAATTTCTAACTGTTAAATATGCATACTTTTTAAAGTTTGATATTAAATATATCATAGGGTTGCAGACGATTTACAAAATTTTCTTCTTAGCAGAAAAATACATTGTGAACCTCTCAAAATGTGAGGGTTCATATGAGACATGAAAGAATATCTTCACTACAAAAATACATATTTTACATTCAGACTATTTTATCTAAAATGTAAGTTTTCTCAATTACATATGGTTCTATTTATATTGTTAAGAAAATTTTCTAAAGTGAATTTTGACTAATTTAAATTTCTTTACAAATATATTCACATTTTATATACACAAAGGTTGATGTGTAATTTTGACTAATTCTATTCATTTTTTCACATACACACGTGTGTATATGCACATTGAAAATTTAAAGTGCCTCTCTAATTAAATATAGAATTCAGGAAAGCCTGCTTTAACATACCTTGCAAACACTGAAAACTAAGCAAAAACCAAAACAGAGTAACAAACCCTTTTACTACTTTTTTCTAATTGTGTGATTAGAAAATAGGAGAAACAATAGCCTATATTGTACCTTCTTCTGTGCACTTTAAAACACTGTTTAGAAAGACATTTAATATCATTTCTTTCTTTAACTGTTCGTATAACTCAGCTTCACAGCATAGCATTTTCAGAGAACATTCGAAATGAAAAGGCTAAATTGTATACAAAATAGCACGTCATACTTACCCGTTTTCTAAATAATATGTATTATAAAGGAGAAAATGAACTGAAGACATATAATTTAGGCACCTGTTAAAGGGTCTGCACAGTAGAGAAGACTCAGTCAAACCACATCAGTGAAACCACTTTTATTTTTATTTTTTCCATGTAGATAATTTCATGTCAGCTACAAAAACCATGAAATGAAGAACCGATTGTGAAACTGCAAACTCAAAACCACTGGAGTGATAAACACGTTCCCCCAGAGGACTGTTACAAAAAATAATCAGAATACCATGAATTCATATTTAAGTAGTAAACATGTATATTTAAAAATAATAAATATAGAACAGCAAGAGAGAAACTAATAGCATAAACAGCATGAAGTATATTTTATTTTTTAAGACAGATGAAGTTTCTAGGCACAGTTTTAGGCATTAAAGAGGACACAGAGGCATAGGTTAGTGTGCGCTGCTCTGTACAAAAATACAGTCTGAATAAATTACATTGCTAGCCATACAATTGGACATCACTTACCAGTCAGTTCATTGCATGTTTAATAATATACAGGTACATGCTAATCCATATATATCATTTATATTTCAAACACGTAGGTCTCTCTATATTTGTCTTTAAAATTTACATGTTGAACTTACAAAAAGCTAAACAGTTGTGCAAGAAATCCAAATAACTAGCCCTGCTGAGTACTTTATGCTATATGTGTGTATGTGTATGTGAATATATATCTCTCTAAGATAGACAGTGGGTTTGTAGTTAACAGGTTTGCTCGTAAGAAAACATCCAACAAACCTCAAGCTGCAAAAACATTATGTTAATGTATGTGAAAATTCACTTGTGTTTATTCTGATAGACAAAACAGTGTTTCAGGTGAGCAACAATAACGTTCATGTTGTACTGAGCTTGTTAGTACTGAAAACACTTTCAAATATTAGTGATGGTAGACATATAGCATACGGCTCTTCACCAGGAAAGGGAAAAGTTATATAATAAGTCTACTTTCCAGTAAACTGCAAATGTGTGTGCCTTAGCCTATAATATATTCTGTCATTTTCCAGCTTGTCATATTGACAGAGAATGAAAACTTGGTAAAACTTGAGATGTGATATTGGTCTAATAGCACACTGTATCCTCTACTAGGACTAAGAAAAGCGCCTCATTGATGTCAGCACCAACATACTGTTCTTCCATTATTCAAGAATAAAGAGGTTCTCTCACAATAGAGTGTTCAGTAGCCAAATTCTCTATCCAACAAATCTATTTCTCATGCTGCTCTGACAATAGGTAATTAACTGCAGGACAGTTTGGCCCAGATTTTACTTATTTGTCAAGAAAATTGCTTCAAAAGAGTCTGTAATACTAGTATCCTTCTGGAAAACTTCCACTCACAGTTTATTATGATTCTATATAGAATCATATACTTTTATAATGGTTTCTCTCTAGCATGCATTTAATCACTTCTATCATTGCTAAAATCAGAATAAGCCTGGTTCTTCTTGTTTACTTTGTGATTCTATAGAAAAATTACAAGGCAAGAGTTTTTTTTTAAGCATTTGAATAATAAAATAGGTTTTTCTTTCCTGCTGTTTTGGCAACAGATCCTAAGACAAGCTGAAAGCAGAACTCTGCTTTGGGAAGGAAAGCAAATTATTAAATACCACTGATGCGGTCTTGCTCTTAATGGATTTTGCAATACAGTAGAACATAGGTACATTTTAAGTGATTTTTCCAGTGCTTCTTTCTGCAAGAGGGCCAAAACCAGGACATAACTGTTTTAGTGTCTTTGTTAACAAAAATACCATTTATAAGTTTTATATTAGAACTGTATATGTGATATAAAAATATGTTTATAAATAAACTATCCAAATTTGTGTATTAAATAGGATTATCACAAGTTTGCATAGTGAGATAGTTGCAAACTTATTCCCTATTATTGATTTTTCCTTCCATTTGAACAGCCGGCAAACGATTCCCTTGACATAAATCCATCATTGCTGTGTGCACAAATCAGTTAGCCCATGAGTTAATTCAGAGGACCAGGTAATAACCAGATGAATTCTACTCCTCTACTGAGACATTTAGACATTTATAAAAATCTATTGCTATTCCTTTTTCATAAAGACATTTAAAATACTTGAAAAAAGCAGCGTTCTATTTTAATGAATTTTAAACAAAATGATCATCCTAATTGCTACTCTCTTCAACTACAGCGCTTATAGAAGAATCATTTTCCGATTAACACCATTTCAATTCTTCTTCCTATACAATTCTATTACAACTTTCCAGTCAAACAGTAGAGTACGTAGAGCAAAAGCTTTAAGGTATATGTGCTTTTGTACATTAAGTAAGCGTGAATACCGATCTAAGCCTCTTAACAACGTGTACAAAGTTAGTGTTCAAATCACTTCACTAGAGCAAACATTAATTTTACGTGTAATAGGCAAATGCATGGTGTAGGGCTAGGGAACAGCTCATTATCATTTATACTAATGGTTCACCTTCTATAAAAATATTTAAGCTGTTACATATGCACAGTTATTTGCTGTAATGTTTGGTAAATGATTTAAAGGGCAATTGGGACAAAAGCAACTCATGCATATTTCTTTCTAGTTGCCCTAGGGAAAGTAGAGCCTCTCCATTTTCCTCATTCTAGATATGGCTGAGGCACAACTTCTAACCACATAATGAAAAGCACATGTCTCTAAGTCTTGACTCCCTTCCCAGAGAGATGCTGATTGCCAGAGCATAATCTCCCACTAAAAAGAGTATTCATAAAGATGGAATATGTACCATTAACCAGTTACATTCAGAACTCCCATTAATGCCTAAGGGCAGTTCACTTTTCAAGAGCTCTCTCAAATAACCGAGGGCCAATGGGTGGGCTAAGCAGGTGATAAGCACTCTGAGTGGAATCCTTGTGGGAGTAAAGAAACTTCTAAATGTTGCTTATGCCAGCTGCTCCCCTGCAGGCAATAGGAGACTCAGGCATTTTGCACTCCAGCTAGTTTCTCACAATGCTTGCTGGCATTTAGGACCCTTCACTTGTCAAGAAAAATGACATGAACGTATTGGAAGTTTGCAGCATTTGCCTATGTCTAATCAGCTCTCTTAACTTGTGCAGGTCCCTAACATGGATGTAAAAGCTGGTTATGATGTTGACAGCCAAAAGGCAAAAGACGTTAAATCAAGTAAACTGCTTGATGCTCCACAAGTGTTTTAGAAAACAGTGAGTTAGAAAAGATGCAGGCGTAATCCTTTTGTTGAATGGTTGTTTGTTTTTAAATTTGAGACTATTGGTTCTAGTAGTAGTCTTCGTAGTTCTTAGGGTTCAGGCAATAAAGGATGGCACCCCCAAACGAAAATATAGTTGCACCCCAGGCCAGGCCATAACCCCAATTGAACTCATGGTAAATTTTCAAGCTCACAGTTTCAATGAACTTGATTGGGTAAAGGACCAGGCTGCAAACCTGTAGAACAACTGAAAGAAAAGCAAATCAAAATTAGAAAAATGTTACTTACAGGAAATAAAATGATACAACAAACACACATATATATGAGAATTACTTTTTAACCAATAAATATGTGAAGCATTGCTTATTTCTAGATGGTATACTTTAAAATACTAATGGTTTTTCTATTTCACAATACAGTAAGAATTACTATATTAATAATCAGTAAATCACTATAACAGTATTTGAGGAAATAATTAGCACAACAGAATAGTTTATATGAGCATACAAAGTAGCGATTTTCACTTTACAAACACATACATTATTATCGCTATGATGGCAAGTAGTGGTAGTTAAGCTAAACTGTTCCACTATACAAACCCTGTAAATAGCTCCCTAAGGACAGTGACCTGGGATACCAGCTAAAATCCTTGTTACTTATTTATGCTCTTAGGGAACTGGAGAATTTGAATTCATTTGTACTGATGAAACTGGTCAACCTGTGATTTAAGTCTTGCTTTCATTGTTGTTGCTTCTAACTCAGCCCAGTATTTCACCAATTCCTACCTTGATGTCTTTACTTCTATTACTCTGATCGAAAACTATTTTCATACTTTTCCTCTCATCCAGTCCATACTGCTCATCTTTAAAAAGGGACTCAAACGTCATCTTTGTCAAGAAGCCGCATCTAATTATACATTTTCTATTAGCTATAACAGATGACATTTACATATTTATTCCTCACGTACTTTTAAAAAAGAATTAATTCGATGAAGGCAGAGGAGATAATGGTCCTGGAAAACCTAACCTAATGATGGCTATCTACAATAGAGCACAAAACTTGGCTCTTAGTTCTTAGTTAAATCCTAGTACCCTGTGAGGGCTCAAGGGGAAATGTGATGAGTCATACCTAATGAAAGACAACAAACCGATTATCAGGAAAGGGAAGGGTTTTTGTGTGTTTTTTTGAGTATCTAAAATTAAAATGGTATTTATCCCGTGGATATTTTTACATGAGAGACACAGGATTATACAAGAGATGATGTCTTCCATTCAGAATCATAATTTCCTATTAGATCGAATATTATATAATTTCTATTTTATTTAAATCAATTTAAGTAGAATTTATGGGATGCAGTGGCCTCATTCTCTGCTATATGATTGCTAACATCCTCAAAAACAGACACTCTTCTCCCTGAAAAGTTTGGCATACAGTAATACTTGACAGGGGTTTGGCAAACTACCAAATCTAGTTTGCTGTTTGTTTTTGGAAAAAAGTTTTATTGGAGCATAGCCAGGTGTGTTCATTTATATCCTGTCCGCACTACGATGACAGGTTTCTGCAGCAGAAACCATGTGGCCCACAAAGGCAAAATATTTACTATTTGCCCCTTTATTACAAACTTTGCCAGTGCCTGATACATAAACTTTTGTTTAAAACAATTGTTATTTACTACATCTTAAAAATACTGTAAATTCCAAATGTCAACAACAAAAACAATTAAGGAGTAGGAGATAAGAATATACTTTGATATACTAAAAAAAGGTAGTTTATTACATTTCTTAAGAGCAATAGGATGGATACTGTCTTTAATAAACTAGAATTTTGTGCTTTAAAATATACTCTCATCTATTCCCACTACCTGTGAAAGATCATTACTACCAATATAATTAATGTTCCTAGAAAGTCTATACAAGCCATCTATGTGTGGCATAAAACTGATGCATAACAGAAAATTCATGAGGGCAAGATTACTCAAGATCATTACTTTCCATCAGGCTCTGACTGCGGGGTCAAGTGACCTTTGTGGAACCAGATAAAAGAATTCCAACATCTCTGCCACGCAGCTCAGCACCGCTGTAGGCCAGCACTGGCCCACCACACTTCCACATTATTACTGAGCAGGTGGATATATAGGTCCATATAAAAGGAGAATCTCTCAACATCCAAAATGGAAATCACACCTTATTTATAGCTTAAAAATCTCAGAAATAAGTTTAAAGTCGTTGTTAGGACAACTGACAGCATATTATACAACACACACTTCATCTATTTCCAGCCAGTAAGTGTTAAATGTATATTAATTTAAAAATATTCAGCTGGCTCTGTGCCTTTGTCATGGAAAGGGAGCTCTGATGTTTTAGATGTCTTAAAACTAACAAGACGTCAGTGGCTACCAACTATGAAGGATGAAGAGAAAGAAATTCCAAAGTTACTAAGCAAGTTCAAAAAAAAGGCATTTCTCCTAGGTCTCTATATTCTGGTTACTAGTCAAAGCATGACTGATGCTGCCTTGACATGACTGAAATATGAATGTGAATTAGGAATTGTAATTCATTGACTCATTCAACACATTCATTCATTCAATAAATATTTGAATGTTTCTAAGGTGAGACAGTTAAGGTGCTGGTAACAAAAGTTGCTACTCTCATGGACAGGCAATCCATTAGTAAATAAATACAGAATACAACAAGTATTGCTGAGAAATGAAAATACAAAAAAGCAAGACAAGACGGAGGGGCACAGGCTGCTCTTTAAGACTGAGAGTTGAGGGCGGCCTTTCTAGGGAGGAGTCATTTGCGCACAGACCTGAATGAAGTGAGGGGTGCACATCCATATAGTGGGGAGTGAGCAATCTGGGTGGAAGGCACATGCAGTGCAAAACTTCTGCCACAGGAGTACACTGGGTGCAGTGAAACTTCAGTAAAGATGTGGTGGTTGTATCAAGAGAGTAAGGAAGGGACTGGCATGAGATGAGAGGGACAAGAGAGCTGGGGGCCTGTTCAGGGATGGCCCTACACACCATGGTCAGGGGTCTGGATTTGATTCTAACTGCGCTGCACAGCTGCGAGAGGAGTTTGAGCAGAGAAGTAATAATTTACCCACATTAGATTCTAGAAGAATTATACCGCTTCTTTTGTGAATCAGCTAGTATCTGGAGTGAGATGTTTACCTAAACTGCTTTTAATATTCATTTCAATGTGTTTTATTTAGCAAACATTTGGCCTCCAGGGTACAATATGTCCCTCTAATGGAAAAGTGGAAATACAACTTCATTAGGCTCCACTGGCATACTCTTCTGAGCAGCTTTCATAGAGATAAAACTTTATGGTGTTCAGCCAGATGAAAACTACCCTAAAACGTTTTATGCCTTTGACTTAATTTTACTCTCTTTGGAATCGCTGAGAAAAAGGCATGTAATAGCAAAATTGAGAAAACAGATAATCCCGCATTTGTAAATAATTTTTTCCATTTAATAAAAATAACATAGATGCAGGTAAAAATGCCTCCTTGACTTTTATAGATGCTGTAAAGGAAAAAACAAACTAAGAGTCCAGAACTCAAGAAAACACCACCACACTGTATTTCTACTTTACTGCCGACCAATGAAATCTAACAGGCACTAGCTGAGGTATTCTCTGTACTCTACCTTAGAGGCAACGTGGGTAAAGTTGTATAGCATTTTAGAATTTGAAGGGAATTTGAGGTTCATTTGATTCCCCCTCCCCACTTTTTTGAAAAGAGGCAATACAACTACCAGCCCTGAAATTGTGTGGAGAGATGCATAACAATAGTTTAGATGTACCTATTCTTGTGTTATTTCTAGTTTTAAGCGGGTATTTTTCACTGTTTTCAAAATTGAAATATTCAAAATATTTGATATTTTCTTCTAAGAGGATAGACATTTCAGTATTTCAACAACCATTTACTGGCCGCACACTGGGTTCTAGGTGAAAGGGATTAAGATATTTCATACTTTATAGTGGAGAAACACAGAAATAATCATTCCAAATGAATGTGTTCAGCAGTAGTTACTAGAAGCATGTTCACTTCTAATCCACTCATCATGTGTTTACTGAGCTCTGACAACATTCCAAGCACCACACTTCATCTTGGCAAAATAAGAGAGGGTATTCAGAAAGGAAGCTCCGTTTGAACCGGTTCTTGATGGATGGACAGGATGTGGTCAGAAGTGAAAGAGGAAAAGACCTCTAGGAAGAGGAAGCAGCTTGTATAGCACTTAAAGATATGAGGGTGTGCTTGTAGAAAAGGTACATGGGTTGAAAGAAGGGTACACTCACACGGACATGTTTGGTTCATACTATAAAAGGCTTAGTGTGTCATAAAAATAATACACTGGTTTTTCCAGGGAGACATCTTGGAGGTTTTTAAAATTGTGGATGCTGTTGGTGCCCTGTCTGTATACTGTCGTCCTCATCACCCCAGTACATGTCCATCTGACTTCCAATTGTCAACACCTACACTTCTTTGCCTGACTTTTCCTCTGGCCACTAAAGCTACTTTGTCTGACTTTAGGGCGGGTCTGGCATTCTGGGAAATGAACTCTGCTGTCTTTCCATCATCAGCAACAGCCCTTTCCAATGACTCTCAGAATATGGTTTATAAATACCCAGATCCCCAGGCCTTCCAGTGAGATTACTCTGAGGTGTGTGTTATATACTGGTTTCTAGAATTTTGCCAGGAAGATTAAGCTACAGCTGCTTATGGCAACAACTTGGTTTGATAAGGCACTCTCTATTAGCTGCCTTCCCTTTCCTGTGTCAATTTCCACATCCTTTATTTTTTTTTACTTCCCCAAATAAGTACTTGCACTTGATTCCTGGTCTCAGGTTCTGCCTCTGGGGAAACCAAAAGGGCAAGTGACACCAGCCTTGGATTCCAGAACGACATCTCGTGTGTTTATATGCAAGACAGAATAATGCAGAGGAGACTAGAGAAGGACAGGCCCCTAGGAAATTAGTCAACACGTGCAGACCCGTGTGTAGTGATAACTAAGGTTGATGTCAGCAGGAAAGAAAGTCCAGAGAATGTAAAGAAGAGACTACAGATAGAAGAAAAACTGAAGCTGGGTTCTGGGAAAGAAAAGAAGAGCTACAGACATTTAAAGTCAGATGTTACCATAGAAAATAAAACACAGTAGGGGAAGTGCAATTAGGGAACCAAGAAGTTCCATTTGGGGAAGAGTTATGTCCTCAACTAAGGCAGTAATGGTGATTTATGCAAAGAAGCTACAGACTTAGAAGATAATTTTAAAGACAAAATTGATAGAACTTAGCAGCCAAGTCCTTAAATATAGAATTTACATAAAAGGAATGGTAATTTGGAGAATAAAAACATTTGCCCATGAAGGATTGATACGAAGCTATCCATTTCTTTTCTTGTTAGAATTTACTCAGTACCTAAACCACATATTAAATTAATTATTGGCAGTGATCATGTAAACTGTTCTAGCCAAAGGACAGTTTGATATTGATAAAAACCTAAAATAGGAGAACTCCTTTTAAGTTTGAAATCTAAGCTGGACATTAATTTTTCTGTCAAAATGTAGACTGAAATACCTCCAGCCATCTCTAATACAGGGTGGTGAGGAGGGCTGCCATATGCAAGCCTCTAATCAAAGCTCAGAGATGGAAAGTGGTCGCAGGATTCTAAAAAACAAAGTCACCATTTTGCATAAGCATTTCTTGACAGGAGGCTTTTTGCAGATGTTACAGAGAGGAAACATCATTAGTAAAATCAGTGGGGATTCTGTTGTTTAAAATCTGAATTATAAAAGAGTGGGAATTTTCTGCAACTTGTATCAAAGGCCTTAGAAAAAAGGGAAACAATCATCGTAAGTCCAAGTGGGGTATAAAAAGATCTATAAAGCCAGAGAGTAAAAGAAGAGGACTCCAGAAAGAGGCAACCCCTCTAATTTCACCAAGTCTTTAGTGAGAACTAGATGCCAGTTAGCAAAATCTCATCGTACATTATCTGTCACTGTCAGTTAGACACTAGGAAATGTGCTGTAGTCAACTGTGCTGGAAACATGCACAGCTTTCATGATGTGCTCTGGTTCAGTCATGCTGTACTGATTGTTTATGGTCTTTATGGCATCTCAAGTTGTTGACTTCCTTCAGGTGCTGCTTCCAGAATGGACTCCAAATGCAGTACACAGTTGGCAGGTGCATTTAAAATTCAAGGCTGATTCTGCTCGTTTTCCTACGTGTTCTATGTACCCAAGCGAAGATGGTTCATGAATCCACACATGAGCTTTCAAGCCAGATAAGATGCCCTGAACTGAAACCCTTGGCTCTGTAACTTACTAGTTGGATCATCCTGGGGTATTACTTAACCTTTCTAAACCTATTTCTTCATTGATAATATGAGGATAAGGAATATCTAATCTTAAGACTGTTACATCAGAGATAGCATATGCTATGTGTCTAGCAGTGTGACACATAGTAGGTGCTCAGTGAATGATTATTATCAACATTATTGTTACAGATGCCATCTTAAGCTGAAGTCTAGATTTCTAGGACCAATGAGTGAGAGAGTTGTAGAACATGAGACATTTTAAATAGGCTGTAGTGATGACTAACTCTTAGCACTTCTAGCAACTATTCAAGAAGGTAATGAGCCGATTCTCAGTTAGGACCTCAGAGAAAAAGAGATCAACAAAAACCTTTCAAATCTGTTTGGCTGTCTTTATGAGGTTTCATCATCAGCTTCTAGTAAAAACCCTTAGGGAATATATTATTTAACACCAAGACAGTATAGTCACATACTACAGGGGCGCAACATGTATTTGTTAAATAAATGGATGAAAACATGAATCAATAAAAAAATCTTTCTTACAACTATTACTTGTTTGAGTTGTTTTGGTCTTAGCTTTGTGGTCAGGTGAAACTCCCTGCTTTATATATCCAAAGAAAGAGAAATGGTTTATGAAAAACTGAATTATAGTTAGCTAGTTGTTTACATGCCTATCACATTAGAAGCCACATAACTTAGTCATCTTTCTATCATTCACTCAACTATTTATTGACTGCCTAAGAAAACCAGACACAGCACATGATAATGAATTAATTACGTATGTAGTCCTGTGTAGAGATGTTTCAGAGTGGCAATGCTATGTCTGTTTCTACTTTATGTACTGCATGTCTCAGCAGGAGAAAACAAAGAATATTTCTTTGTTGAGAAAGATATTTGTGTGTGAACACCAAGACAAAGCTTCGTATCACATGGAGAAAAAGAAAACATTTTGAGAAAAGAGGAGAAACAGACTACTTTCAAGCAGACCAAGATGAGTAAAAAGGGGAAATGGCCCCAAATGCACATTTGCAAAGAATCACCAAACTGAATTACAAGTGACACAAGCCATCCACTAGAATAAGTATGTTTACTAAGAAGCAAGCAAAGTAGACCACCATGATTTTAGCTAGCATTGTTGCAGGGAGACTTTCCAAATTTGTTAATCTGATGTCCAAATAAATAATGGATTATTATGTATAATGAATAACCTTCCCAGAAATCGGCTATAGGCGACTCTTTAATGGCTTTTGCAGATTGGAGAAACCTTTTCATTTCATGTTTCAAAACAGCCCCTAGTTTTACCTTGCCTATATGCAAAGTAACACTAAACTAATGGTTATTTTAAAAAAGAGCTTCACAAATACAGTGTCAGAACAAAATGGATAAAATTAAATCTCAGCACATGTACATTTTTAAAATGAAGGAGTATAATGCTCATTTTAGGTCTCAGCAGGTAGAATAATCTTATGAGTGTTGCTATAGGGATTCTTTTCATTATTTTATCATTTACTAATATTTGTGGTAGCTAGAGCTGTATCAAAATCTTTATTTCCATTACCTGTAACTTATGTTCATTTGCAATGTTTGTTTGCTGTTATAACCAGTATTTACTTTCACATTTTCATGAATATTGCTATGCTTGGAAAAACATACAGAACTTTTTTAGAAAAAATGAAATTTTGAGTTACTTTACTAAGCATGTTGACAATAGGTGTTATGAACAATGCATTTCTTTATAGATGCTGCATATGTCATGTGGTAAGTTAAAGGCTAAGTGGGATAGTAACTAAGTAGTACAGTAACAATTGGATATTATAAGAGAATGCCTAGAATATCTCTTTACCTTCCTAAAATCAGAAATATCTGAGTAGTCTAAAAATTATTTAAAACATAATTCCAGTTTGAAAGAATGGCACAGCATTTTAGAACTTATCAAAAGTCTATTATAACTGATTATCTAATCACTATGTTAATAAATCCTAGCTGCAAAGAAAAACTTATACTATAATTAAAATATCTAAATTATTTCATTCTAAAAATCGCCATGGTAAATCCATGAACTAAGAAATAAACTAGAGTGATGGAATCTTTAGAAGAATCTTCATGTTATACTATGTGATTCACAATGGAGATCTTTATCACACATGAGATTAACAAAGTAATGATACTACCTACGGCCACTGCCTAAATCTTCAAAATGTTTTTTGCAGTAGTGTTCTCTACTCTATTAGAAACTATCTGTGGTACTGTTTAGCCACTTTTACAGGTATCAATACAATGTTCAGTCCATTAATAGGCACCCACAAAACAGTTGAATGAGTGAGTGAGGGAGTCAGTAGTGAATGAACCACTAGTTTAAGATTCAGTAGCCTCTCAGCCCCAGGTCAACCAGTAACTACTATGTGATCTTGAGCAAGTGAATTAGATGTATGTCTAAATTCCTTCAGCCCCTTTGGACCTTCATTTTTATATCTGCATTTCGGCTGGTCTATAGAGGAAAATGAACACAAACAGCAGGGGGCAGCAGAACACTTCTGATTGTTTTTTTAGCTCAAATTACCCTTCAAATCCTGAAAATTTCATCTATTCCCATCTTTAAACAGCTTAAAAAAAAATCTATCTAACATCTTAAAGGGTTCTGTCAGTGTCTTCATTATTGACAGTCATAGGGACTTATTTTTCAGTCTTCAAATCAGATGTGACTGACAGGGTAAATTGAAGGCACCAAAAGATTATTTCAGTTTGAGTCAAAAAGAACAATATAGTCAAGGCTGTTCGTATAAATGAAAATTAAACACATAAAATAATGTACTGAGCTTTTAGTCTTTTAAGCCCCTTTTCTAAATACCTCTGTGACTTTTAGTAAAAGTAAAACTTTTACTTTGGTTGTTACATTCATCCAAGCTGTGCTTTATGGAATGATACTTGTTAAATTAGTGAATATGCCATCAACCTCATCCAACTAAACTAGCTGATGGTTCCTGTTACACATTATGATTTTTCAGTATAACCATGTAAACATTTCCAAACAGATTTACACTTTTAAGCATACATATATTAGAATTTTTTTTCAGTTCCACCGCAGAAAAAATAATGTTGCCTCAAGATCAGCAAGGCGGCAGTCAAAGGAGGGGGGTGGGGGAACTGGATGTGAAGAAAAGACTTGGTTAATACACCTGGCTGCAATTCCTAAGGCAGCAGCCCTGTCAAGAACTATTACTTATTCATGTTTTTTCAGTTAGAAGTTTGGAAATTGCCACTGTACTTTGTGAAATGCTTAACACACTGAAAACTGATAATGTGATAAACCCTTAATCAATTTACCTTAAAATATAACAAATGCCTCTCCATCTGTATGTAATACAAGCAACCATACACTGCTTCTGCCTGAGAAAGGATAGTAGGAAGGTTCATGAAACTTTAATACCGGTTTGAAAGTAATGAATATATTTACCTGCTGCAAAAAGCATGACAGCAACAGGTCTGTAGAAGCGCCTTCGAGATCCCACGCAGATAGAAATCAAGCCCACCAGGAATGCAATGAGAATGATGGCAGCACCGCCCAGAAGTAAAGCCAGAGTAGCAATCTGCCAATCTGGAAAGAAAAAAGAAAGGTATCGTTTTTAAGCAGAGGGTCCTCAAAGAATCAATAGAACTGTGCTCAGCAGCCTTCCTCCTTGCTGTAGCCAAACAGATGTGACTTTACTGCATACTAGGCATCCTTTGGGATTTGAAATGTTTTGCAACAAAAACTACTATAAATGTCCTTATTTAGAAAAGTCTCCTATGCTAAATTCAGCAGAGCTTTTTAGACCAGAGGTTTGCCATGCTTTTCTTCCAAGGAAGCTACTAAGCCTTCATGCTAAATTTGGTTACCCCTCCAAATTTTCATTATTATTATTATTTCATTTTCTACTGAGCTATAAAGTTCACGAATCTTAAACATAGAAAGTAGAGAACTTGATGAATTTTTATATTTAGACACCCATGTAACCACCACCCAGATTAAGATATAGAACATTTCCATCACCCAGACGGTTGCCTTGTGCCCCTCACCCAGTCAATAACCACCCTCCCACTCAAGCTACTGAAGGACATCTATCACCTTGGATTTGTTTTGCCTGTTCTTAAATTTCATATAAGTGGTACAAACTCTTTAGTGTCTGGCTTTTACATCTGTGACATTTATTTTATGTCTGACTTTTATGTTTCTGATATTCATCCATGTTGTGTGTGGCAATAATATTCTTCTTTTTAGAATTGTTGGCCTGTCTTGGACAGCCTTTCTTCTCTGCCCAAAAGAAAAAAAAACAAGTTTTTATTTGCCTTTCTTCCCCTCCCCTTCACTGAAACAACTTCCCAAAAATGAGCACCAGGAGGATTTGTTGTTGTTTTTTCCTCCTTCCATTTCATTCTAACCGTACTGTTGCATTACCAACGCAGGAATGATTTATGAAATTAAGTATTCCCAGGGAGCCAAAATGGACTCTAAATGGCTGTTCAAAGCATTTCTTCATTCATACACGGAAACAGGAAGCATATATTGACCACTTACTATATGGGCAGGTCTCTGTACACAGATACTTTAACAGAATCTCCCATAGCCCAACTAAAACAGAATCCTCATTGAAATGCACTTGTCATTTCTTACAAAATAAAGATGTAGAAATAGAGTTGACAAAAAAACTGGCCTACTTTCCATTCTGTAAGAAGAGTAGAATGTTCTCGAAGGAGAAGGAAAGTGAGTATGTGAAAGCACTATCCAGCTTAGGAAGCACCACAGAAAATAATACTGTGGAGAACATTCTTCAGTGGGGGACTGGAAGTCCCAGGCTGCCTCTTCTGCCCCTCACTGTAATGTATGTGCAGGAAATGAAAATAGACTTTAATCCATGGTTAGATTGCAATACAGCCTATTCAAAGTCAAGGACTCCTGATAACTTGATGCTGCACTCTGCAATTATCCCTCCGGTAAGCTTCCAAAGTGCACTCTTTGCACTGTAGGAAAAGGGAGATGAGCGGAGGAACCTAGGATACGCTAAAATCTCCTTTTATTTATACTTGTATATCCCTGCCTCAAGTGCCTCTTCCATAAACTCTCCTCCTAAGAAATTCTAGATATATAACTGGCACTGAACTAGAACTTGCACTGCATTCAGGAAACAAACAAGGGGAGAACAGAAGAAATTCACATTTTTAAAATATAAAGGTGAATCACCAGAAAGCAGAGAGCATTTTTTTGTGCCATCTACTTGTAACAAAGCCATGTAACTTCAAACAAAAGTGCATCTGGCTTTCAAGTAGAGTTTAAAAGGATAGCCATACTATGGCTTCTTTATTCCATAACAGCATGTAACTTTGGATTAAAAAAAAGAATAATCCTTATATCTTTGAAAAAGTTTATACACAGCACGATTATAGTGCATTATAGCATAACAAATCCTTCTGTAAACTTCTAAGTTGAAATTTCCAAATAGTGAGTCTAATTTTCATTATATCAAAGTGTTTAGGGTACAAAGAAAATAAAATCTATCTATCCATCCATCCATCCACCCATCCATCCATCCAATTCCTGGAGACTTTAAGACTGCCTATGCTGAAATACTTTCTAGTTGGACTATTACTTCTATAAAATGATTACTATTTTTAGTAACTTCCTCCAAATTACTTTAAATAAATATGAATTTTTAAAATATCAACTTTTTTTAAAATCAAGATGCAACTAAATATTTACTTTAAAAGTATCTTGAAAGTACAATGCATTTTTTCTGATAAGCTTTCCCATGGCCCAATACACATGCATAAAATGCCATTTATTTCCACTTTCAACCCAAAATAATATAGGAATGAATTTTGATCACTTTTCTCAAAATATCCTCAAGGAATAGCTAAAATAATGTAATTATTTGCATTTTGTATAGATATGAAAAACAAAGATCAGAAAAAAACTGGCTAGTAAACATAATGTCCTTCATGTAATTATAGATTAATGATACCAAAATAAAAAAAGAAAAGAAAAAGAAAAAAAACTGGCAAAGTTTCCCTCTAAAGGGTCAGAGAATAAATATTTTCAGCTCCTGGGACATGGTCTCCATTGTAACTACTCAACTCTGCCACATAGTGAGAAAACAGGCATAGATGGTATATAAATGAACTGAGCATGGCTTGTCTGAATAAAACTTTATCTACAAAAAACAGGTGGTAGGCCAATTTTGATCCTCTGGCTGTAGTTTGCTGGCCCCTGGTCTATACTTCACATACATTTTTAAATGTTAAAATGTTGTCTAGGTAAAGGCCTCCCAGACAATAATTATTTCATAACAAAGTCAATCTGGTGAGTGAGTAGTATGGGAAAACAAAGTGATGATATCCAATTTAGCAACAGAAAACTGCAAAAAATCCCAATCTCACAAAATGTTGAATTTCCTTAAAATACTAAGACTTTATTTCATAGGGAGAACCCAATAAATGCAGTAGAAGGCACCAGGAGAATAACAAGTTATTTTTTGAGCCCCCTTTTAAGGGACTAGAACCTAATTAGGAAGGCAGTCTCTTACTGCACAACAGGAAAATAGTTCTAAAAAGTAAATGAATACAACCAATTCCGCTTTTCTTCTAAATGTCCTATATCTACTTTTAGTATTGAGGGCTGTGGCTAATGAGAAAGTCACCTGACACATAAAGTCAAAAAGGCATGTCACAGCTTCACCATTGTTGTGATATTGCTACCTTTCCCTCTGGTCTACAACCATAGATATGTCTGCTCAAATGGAAAAGCCATTTTATTTTCCAAGAGACTAGAACTGGGCCATGTCGCCACTGTCTTTGCCAGACGCTGGAGCTTAGATTGTGGCTACATATCTGGCAGAAGGTGCCAAGTTTGGGGATTGTTGTCATTATATTCATTTGGAATGAGTCCCTCAGGCAGCTGCCCAGAACCAAAGCTTAACTTGCTAACCAGTTGAACATCCATCAGGCAGTTGAAAAAGTGGTTTGATGACTTCCACAGTCACACAGGCCCGCGGCACTTTTCGAAGTTCAGCACCAGGTGTTCTGGAGCTGACAACAGTGCTTGTGGCATCATTTCAGTAAACAGCTAGAAATCCACTATCCAGGTATTAAGGCCTGCCTTGCAGGTGAGCTAAAGTCAGGGACTATGTAGATCAGCCTGACACTATTTGCCTCTTTCTTACTGAACAGGACTAGGAATGAGGAATTTTTAAAAAAAGTGAAAAATCCATTCTACAGATACCTATTAAAGGCCATTAAAATAATAGGCTGGGCTCCATGTTTTCACAGGTATTTATTTACCTACCAAACATAGATTTAATAAGAATACATACACATAAAATGTCTTGTTATGTATCATATTCTTTGGGCAATTTTATAGCAAAATTATAATAAATGAACAGAAAACTTGTCTCTACACTAATGGTTTTCCCATTAAATGGTTTGCAAGCCACAAATATTTACTATCCCACGCTGAGTGTTTGCATAACAAATTAAAATGTCATAAAATTCTCAATTTTCAGCCCCATTTCTTAAAAAAAATTACCTATTTTAAGCTCTCATAATTGGTTAATTTCTCTATCAATCTTAGTCCCGCAGTTTTATAGCCCTCACAGTATTTAGTCAGATGAAGTGTTAAAAGAGTCCTTAGAAATTTATTACTGTGCATTAGTTTTACAATTTCTATAAATGATAAACTGATGCTATAGTGAAACAATGAACATAAACCAGCTCTGCAGAACATCAAAGGCCATGGTGCTGTTTTACAAATTGTAATGCTCTGCACAATTAAAACTGGTCATTGTTCAATGTCAGTTTAGCTTGTATGAAATCTGAGTTTGTTTTCTGAGCCCTGAGAGAAAAGTGATAATCAGTTTTGAGGAACTAATATACATCCTTGGTCCACAAACTGAAAAGGACTCTAATGGACTGGGAGGAGTGTTTTGGATCTGGAAATCAGACCTGTAATAAGGCTGCTATTATATATGTCAAGTTCCACTTGAAAGTACAGTAGTCGCCCCCTTATCCACAGTTTATCTTTCCACGGTTTCAGTTACCCATGATTAACAGAGGTCAGGAAGCGGATGATCCTCCTTCTGCCAGATGGTCAGAAGGCCCATAGTAGCCTAACACTATGGCACAATGCTTAACATCGTTCACCTCACTTCATCTCATCACATAGGCATTTTTTTCATCTCACATCATCACATAAGTAGAAGGGTGAGTACAGTACAGTAAGATATTTTGAGAGAGAAACCACATTCACATAACTTTCATTACAATATATTATTATTGTTGTATCTTATTAGTTATCATTCATCTCTTATTGTGCATAATTTATGAAGTAAACTTTATCATAGGTATGAATGTATAGAAAAAATATACTATATATGGGGTTTGGTATTATCTCATGTTTCAGACATCACTGGGGGTCTTTGAACATATCCCCATGGGTGGGGGAGTACTACTCGTATCTTGGCAAAATTGACATAGTAATACTGGAGGTATTAGAATTGCCAAGTATGAAGGCCAAGACTCAAGATGTGTGTGTTTCTCTACTAGTCCTTTCTCTAACAGAAAAAAAAG